TTTTAATAATCTTTGGACCACATGGGAAAAACTCAGAGGGGCCTGTCATCTCCATGACAGGATTATTTCAGGTCTTCCATTAACACAACTGATGTACAATGTTGCTGATCCAAATTTTTCCAATTGGATAAAGTCTGGCCTTACTAAAATCGAAAATCTACTTGATAATGACAGGGTTAAGGACTTTACTTTGTTATGTAGATTTTTGTTTACATAATAAAGAAATCTTTAATTACATTAGAATAAAAGGTTCGCTTCAAGAACATTTAACTATGGATAGACCTGTCAAACTTATTAAATTAGAAAAAATGATTGAGTGTGAAAATGAATAAACTAGTGGCAGGCTGTGTGGATTTGATTAAGGGAGACCTTAACAAACCTATTTAACATGTGATAATAAAATGGCAGCAAAAACTAAACATTGATATTAGTTGTGAGGAACGGACAGAATCACAGAATTGCTTAAATCTGTCGGAGATCCATTATAAACTCTTTAAAAAAATGGTATCTGGTCCCAAGTAGGCTCTATAGGATTTACCCCAACATCTCAGAGAGATGCTGGAGATGCCATGCTCACAGAGGAGATTTCCTGCATATATGGTGGGAATGTCAACCTATCTAACTATTTTGGAAAATGTTACACATAGAAATTCAAACCTTACTTTCAAAAACTATTGATTTCAAACCCCAGACTTCTATTACTATTAAACACTCAAAACAATTTTGGTCCCGCTTTAACTATTGTGATACACAATGCAGCTGCCAAGATGTTGATTGCCAGAAGCTGGTTGATGGTCATAGCCCCTCGCTGGAATCCGGTTAAAATTCTAATTATTTACCAAATCAAAATGGAGATGGGCATTTGTAGAACACCATATGATGTGAATAAAAAGTGGTTGGTACAGGATGAGAAATTATTAGTTAGAGATACCCTCCCATGACGTTAAGCGGTAAAATTCCATCTTGTGTTTTCATCTTTGAACATGACTGGGTCAGCCCTCTCTCCCGCCTCCTCCTCCCCGCAGGGAACTTAGATCTGTGTCCTTTTTGTTTGTTATGTTCGATGATGTCCTATTTGTCTTTAAAGGACCACTCTAGGCACCCAGACCACTTCAGGTTAATGAAGTGGTCTGGGTGCCAGGTCCTTCTAGGGTTAACCCATTTTTTCATAATTATAGCAGTTTCAGAGAAACTGCTATAATTATGAATGGGTTAAGCCTTCCCCCTAATCCTCTAGTGGCTGTCTCATTGACAGCCACTAGAGGCGCTTGCGTGCTTCTCACTGTGATTTTCACAGTGAGAGCACGCCAGCGTCCATAGGAAAGCATTGTAAATGCTTTCCTATGTGACCGGCTGAATCGCGCAGCTCTTGCGCGCCGCATTCAGCCCGGCAGCGGGAGGAGGAGGAGGCTCTCTCGCCCAGCTGGAAAAAGGTACGTTTTTACCCCTTTCCCCCTTCCAGAGCCGGGCGGGAGGGGGTCCCTGAGGGTGGGGGCACCCTCAGGGCACTATAGTGCCCGGAAAACGAGTATGTTTTCCTGGCACTATAGTGGTCCTTTAATATTATAAATATTATTATGTCAATGGATAAAATGGCTTAAAGTTTTGTGTATGTCATCAAATGTTTGTATAATTGAAAATTAACAAAAAAAATGATATATTCAAAAAATAAAAAATAAAAGGTTTGTGCTACAGCACAAACTTTTTTTGGGAGGGGGTTCCACAATGTTAATATACTATGTCAAAGGGTTCCATGGGCAAAACTAGTTGGGAACCCCTGGTTCAGAGTAATCCCCAGAATGTTAGTAAAATAGTTGGGCGGGTCAAGACATTTCTAGACAATCCCCTTTGAAAATTCCAGGTAATTCAAACAATTTGAAATAAAATGTTACAAAGTAAATGAGAGAGGACTATCAAAACAAATAGAAATTGATTATGCATTGTCCACTAGATGGCAGCGAACTATTATAGTTTCTATCTAATAGGCATAAAAAGAGATGAATTGAAAGCTGCACGGTTAGGTTGTGATTGCGACATCCATTGGGCATCCACATGCCCTGCACTTGGTGGGTGGGTCTGAATGGTTGCTGAGCTCCAGATGGCAAGATGAACAGACCAAGGCTTTTCTTCCCACTGAATAACTGCTAGTGCATTTGATCTCCAGAAACTCGTTAAAGACAACTAGCTATTTTACCCTGATTTCCATTGGTGGCAGGTCACTGGACACAGCTATGAGATTCCACGGGGGTCAAGTCCTAGAAAAAAAAGTGTGGGAAGTCATCCAAGATTTCCTCCACACCAAGATGGGTGAAATGTCCTATGCAAACTTAAAGGACACTATAGTCACCAAAACAACTACAGCTTAAGGCATCGTTTTCTTGTGTCTATATCCTGTCCCTGTAGGCTGAGCACTGCACATGCTGCATTTTTAGAGAAAAGACATTTGTACCTAGGAACACCTCTAGTAGCAGTCACTCAGATGGCCACTAGAGGTACATCCTGGGTCAGTGCTGCACAGTGCTGAATGCTCCACATAGATTTGCATTGATTAAATGCATCTCTACGAGGAAATGCTGATTGTCGCAGTGCAGTGTTTTGCAGTGCATGCACAATAGCCTCCCAATGTTTTCCTATGGGAAAGCATTGGATTGGCTGAGATCATCCAAACTGATTATCTCAGCCAAGGAGGCGGGGCCAGGCGGGGTCAGCCATGGCAAGACCGGAGCGGTTTTCAATGAGATCTCAGGGGGGCTCGGAACATAAACTGTGATTTCTGAACTAAAGTAGCAGGAATACATGTTTGTACTACTGACACCAGGGCCGGCCCAAGACACTGTGCTGCCTGGGTACAAGGATGAAATCAGAGGCCGGCTGGGACGGGGGCAGGGAGGCAATTGCCCCCCAGCTTGCTCTAACTCCAGGGCTGCCCGCATCCAGCAAAAAAAAGAAAAATCAGAATCCGCTGCCTCTGGCTCTGCCTTTTGCTGGGGATTTTTCAACTTCTTATTATTATCGCCATTTATTTAGAGCCAACAGATTCCGTAGCGCTTTACCTCTCTTCCTGCAGCCAATGAAGTCGGCCGGCCTCTCCTGATGATGTCAGGAGGAGCGGGCGTGACTTTCACTGCTCTTCTCACGGGACCGCTGGGGAGTCTGGGAGAAGAGCAGAGGAAGTAACGCCCCCTCCTCCTGACATCATCAGGAAGAGACCGGCCGACTCCACTGACTGCAGACTGCTGCTCCTGCTGGTTGCTGCCCACCAAGCCTCAGGGAGGGGGGGAAATAAACTTTAGTGTTTTTTATCCCCCCTCCTCAGCCTGTCCCATTCCTTAAACCCTGTCCCCCTTCCTCAGCCATATCCCCTTCCTCAGCCCCTGTCCCTTTACTAAGCCCCTGCCCCCCCCAAGGAGACATCTGACTGCTATTTTGGGGTCGAAAATGAATTTTTTCCCAGTTTGTTGCAAAATTGGAAGCGCTGGGTTTTTTGCCTTCTTTTGGATCAACAGCAAAAACATATGTAAGGAAGGCTGAACTTGATGGACGCAAGTCTCTTTTCGGCTATGTAACTATGTAATTATGTAATATATTCCCCTCACCCTGTGCTTACCTTGCAGGGAGGGGGCATTCAGATCCCTGGTGGTCCAGTGGGCTGGCTACCCACCGGGTGTAGGGCAAGCAACAAGGTGAGAGCTGTCTCTTTTGGAGCGCTAGCACTTACACTTTAGGACATACTTGAAAACGAGAGAAATCTCAATGTATCTTTCCTGGTAAAATATTTTATAAATAAATAAATAAATGTCAGAGCACTGTCATGGGTTACCATGGTAACGCTTTGACACTGTAACTGCTGATGCTTGCAAGAGATGTTAGACGTACAGGTGAAGACATAAACTTACGCAGTTGCCAACATTTGAGAAGATTCCAGGGACACTTTCATTCCAGGGACAATTTTCTCAGGAAATCACATGCATTTAGTAAAGCTTAACTTTCTAAATACCTCAAAGGAACTTTTTAGGAATGTATGCACTCCTTGACACACACTCACTGACACACACTGACTGACATACTCACCCACTGACACATACACAAAAATACAGACTGACCCATAAAGAGACACACATTGACCGTACATACACGGCACCCTGACTCCTCTCCTGCAACTGTCAAAAATAACCCAATAAGTCCTCAGTGAATACTTTTCTAGCCTACTTTGATACCTCTACTTTTACCCTTTGTGTCACTATACCCCACTCCTTCTAGCATGTAAACACATAGAGCAGGGTCCTCAACCCTCTGGTTCTGTGTGTCCAACTTGTCAGGTTACATGTCTGTTAGTCCACCCATTGTACAGCGCTATGGAATTTGCTGGCACTATATATATATATAAATAATAATAATGAAAAAATAATAGTAATACATGCAAGCACACACACTTATTGACACACGGTCCTAAACACTGACCCATCCCTACACAGACTGACATGCATACACACTCACTGACACTGTCATACTTCTAATGAAGGGACTAAAATATTTTGGATTAGCAAACAAACTCTGCTTTGAATACGTTTAATTCCTTGCAATCAATAATGATGCCACATCTTTATTAGCTTGTCTGTCTCAGCTGTCAGATGTCTTTGGCGGTTCACCTACCATTCACATTATACAATGGCTCCCAAGTTTATTCACAATAATGGTTCAAGCTACTTGATGATGTTTTATAGCAATGGGTTAGTGCCATTACAAAATCTCTCTCCACTCCTACACTTATATCCTTGGATTCATGTTATTTGGTAAACCCAGAGTTAAAAACCTTTCCATAATATTCTCCTTAAACCGTTACTCCAAGCCCGCTGGAGTGGTTATGTTGATGGGTGTACCCTGGCTCAGTTTGTCCTCACAGGGCTCCTTTTACATCTGGTGACGCACTATCAGCTCCAGAAAAAACCTGAAGATGATCCAGACCCCATTCATTGGCTGGAAGTGTCCAGACTGGGTAACGATGCCCCAGTGACACTGCCAGAGATGGAGTTATAGTAATACGCTGCACATACACGCTCCAAGCACCACGACAGAGGACCTCCTTAAAGGTTCTGCAGGGGGACCAAAAGATGACCTCCTTAAAGGTTCTGAAGAGGGAGCGACAGAGGACCTCCTTAAAGGTTCTGCAGAGGGAGCGACAGAGGACCTCCTCAAAGATTCTGCAGGGGGAGTGACAGATGACCTCCTTAAAGGTTCTGCAGGGGGAGCGACAGAGGACCTTCTTAAAGGTTCTGCAGGGGGAGCGACAGAGGACCTCCTTAAAGGTTCTGCAGAGGGAGCGACAGAGGACCTCCTCAAAGATTCTGCAGGGGGAGCGACAGAGGGCCTTCTTAAAGGTTCTGCAGGGAAAAGCCAGATGAATTTCTTAAAAGTGTTCATTTTTCAATAAATATTGCAATGTAGGAAGACAATCAAAACATCCCTGTCTGTCTGAATATAATTTGTTTTGGTTTGTTGCTTTAATAATAACCCCTTGTGATCAGTAAAAGCAGTACACATGCAGCCATCGCTTTAAGCCAGTAGGTACTCATTAGTCACCTTCCAGTAAGGTGCAGGCTGCGGCCTTTGCTGCCAATGTGTGTGAGCACAGCATGTTCAGAGAAACACGTGGAACAACCACAAACAGCTGGTTCCTTTCCGTGTCCTCTGCCGAGCCTCACCCAATCTGGCTGTATTGACTAAGCACACAAACGCTGGAAATCAGCCAGGGGTTTAGTGCATCAAGAATCGAAGTACCAGCTTGCTTCTGTTAGGTTACACTTTCCATGTTACCCTTTAGGCTGAACGGACCCTGATCTGAAGAGATTTTTGAACACACCTAAAAAAAAACAACACACAAATCAAAACAATCTACTGGGAGAAGCAGTTTACCTAAAAGGACACTCTATTGCCCAAATACAAACAGTAAATACATATTTTTTTTAAATCACTGTTTTGTAGATCCTCATTGAAAACATGCATGCATTTAATTATGGATTTTTTTCCATTAGGGCAATATCTAAAATCAGCTTGCTGTAGCTGCTGATCTCTTGTCTGCAGCCTTTGCAAGCCCTCCCCTTCTAATCCCTGGGGTCTTTATGTGGCTGTCCAATAACAGACTTCCCAATGCAGCTCAATGAGAAGTCTTTGCAAGGCAGGTGCTCTGGTCAATTGTTGCCTCTTGAGTTTATCTCCACTTAGCTAACCCAACCAGGAAGTAACAGGACTGGTTGTCTGATTGACAGCCATGGAGGCTCTGGAAGGGGGAAAGGGGTTTAAACTTACCTTTTTCCAGCACTGGGCGGGGAGCTCTCCTCCTTCTCTCCTCCTCCATTCCGCCCCGTCGGCTAAATGCGCACGCGCGGCAAGAGCTGCGCGCGCATTCAGCCGGTCACATAGGAAAGCATTCATAATGCTTTCCTATGGACGCTGGCGTGCTCTCACTGTGAAAATCACAGTGAGAAGCACGCAAGCGCCTCTAGTGGCTGTCAATGAGACAGCCACTAGAGGATTAGGGGGAAGGCTTAACCCATTAATAAACATAGCAGTTTCTCTGAAACTGCTATGTTTATTAAAAAATGGGTTAACCCTAGCTGGACCAGGCACCCAGACCACTTCATTAAGCTGAAGTGGTCTGGGTGCCTAGAGTGGTCCTTTAATAGCAAGAGAATCAGGACCAGGGTGCTCTGGGAGAAGCAACTATTTTGAGACACAGTGTGGCATACATTAGCCCAGGCCTTACATTCCAATGTAGCATGCCCCAGAATCTTCCAGGCCCTTATTTGTGAACTGGGCTTTTAGGCAGGCAGAAATGAAAGCCTTATGGATGCAATCTTGACTTTAGTCTGGAACTTTTGTGTATCAAGTACTTAAAGGGACACTATAGTTACCAGAACAACTATAGCTTAATGTAGTAGTTCTGATGAGTATAATCATTGTCTTCAGACATTTTAATGCAAACACTGCCTTTTCAGAGAAAAGGCAGTGTTTACATTGCCCCTAGGGACACCTCCAAGTGGACACTCCTCAGATGGCCACTGGAGGTGCTTCCTGGCTCAGTGCTACACAGTAGGCAGCACTGCCGTTCAGCGTCTACCCGCTCTGCATGGGGACTCTGAATTTTCCTTATAGAGATACATTGATTCAATGCATCTTTATGAGGAGGTGCTGATTGGCAAAACAGAGTTTGGCCCTGCCCCCCTTGTCGATTTTCGCCAATCCAATGCTTTCCCCATGGCAATTCTGATGATGTCACCAAGGGGCATGGCCAGTGTCGGCAGACCCTCGCGGCGCTGGGAATAAGGTGAGTTTTAATTGCTTTTAAGGGGGCTAAGGGGGGGGGGGGACAAGCCGCCTAAATGGTGGGTTTAGCACTATGCTTTCAGGAATACATGTTTTACCCTATAGTGTTCCTTTAAAATGTTTTTGGTTGGAGGGAAGGGTGTCGAGGATGTACCTGGAAAGAGATGTAGTTTTTTACAACATGGTGACACCCAAACTCATTAAATGAATTGGCGTGTGTGATTAGATCTAAGAATTTGGAGGGAGATACAGAGTACTGTGTGTAGGTATAGAGAACTTAACATACTGTCTGTCTAGATCAGGGATCAAACTTTTCACTTGCCCCAGGACGGGTCCTATTTTTGGCACCCTCCACCCCCCAACTTTAAAATGTAAAAAACAACCACAATTTAAAAAAATAAAAAAAATAATGTATTTAGCACTAAGCAGTGTTTATGCTTTTAAATGTAAGCATGTTTTTGTATGGAGTATGTTTGAGTGAATGTAGGATGTGTGTCTGTATGTGGTGTTGCATTTTTATGTAGTGTGGTGTTTGAATGCAGTGGTATGGTTATATATAATGGTGGAGTTTGTATGTAGTGTTGACGTCGGAATGCAGGGGTGTATTTGTGTGTAGTGTTGGCGAGATTCTGAGATGTATACACATATACACATAAACACACCTAAATACACACTGACACACATGCAGATACATAGACACATAGGAACAATATATAGGGGGTGGGCACATAAGATACCACAATCCAAATTGGTGGGGCACTAAAACTTTTCACTAGGGGATGGGGTAACGTGCTGCCATTGGCTGCCTGATGCCAGCATGCAGTGCACATTGGCATCATTCAACAAATATGCATATAATTCACATTAGCCACCCAGATTTCTTGTTCGTAGGCTAGCTGACACCTCTTAACGTTGATCTTTGTTTATCAGATAACTCCCTTATTTGCTATCCTTATGTGAGATTGCCATCTTTAAGGACACCAAATAAGGATAAGGGAACTATCTGCTAAACAGCACCCTAATTTGGTATCTTTAAACATGGAAATCTCACATAAGGACACCAATTTAGAGAATTATCAACTAAACAGCTAAAAGATCAACTTAAAAAAACAAACCTTTTCTTAATTTCAGTTGTTTAGTAGATAACGCCCTTATGTGTTATCCTTATGTGGGATTGCAATATTTAAGAACACCAAATAAGGGAGCAATGTACCAAACACATGCACATTTATATACACAGACAATAACACAATAGGTGTATGTCTGTGTGTGTATATCTGTGATTGTGTGTGTGTGTATGTATGTATGTGATGTTTGTGTGTGTATATCTAATTATGTCTGTTTGTAATTGTATGTGTGTGGGTCTGTGATTGTGTATGTCTGTGTTTATGTGTGTTTATGTGTGTACCCACACACATACAATTACAAACACACATAATTATATATACACACGCAAACATCACATACATACACACATTTGATAATTAGGAGGTCCACCCAGCCTCCCTACCTTGCTCTGGGAGGGCTAGAGTGGATCCTCAGTCCCTGGTAGTCAGTGGTTGCTGCTTGGATCTCTGTGCTCTTCATGCACACGTCCCTTACACATCCTGTAATATGACGCCGATGCTTGGATGATGTTATGTGCCGACTCACTGCAGGGCGAAGACAGGCAGATACAGTCAGATGTACACAGTTATACGCATATACTGTCAAATACAGCCACATGTACACCGTACCAAACACATAGTCACGTGCACACTGTCAAACGCACAGCTGCAGGTAGACAGTAACACACACAGTTACAGACAGACAGTCACACACACACAGCTACAGGCAGACAGTCACACACACACACACAATTACAGGCAGACTGTAACATAGTTACAGGCATCACACAGTCACACACACTTAGTGACATGTAGACAGTCACACACTGTCCCAGGCAGACAGTCATACACAGTCCTAGGTAGACAATCACAGGAAGACATTCATACATACAGGCAGACATTCACACACACAGTCACAGATAGTCACAGGCAGACATTCACACACACAGTCACAGATAGACATTCACACACACAGTCACAGGCAGACATTCACACACAGAGTCACAGATAGTCACAGGCAGACATTTACACACACAGTCACAGATAGTCACAGGCAGACATTCACACACAGAGTCACAGATAGTCACAGGCAGACATTCACAGACACAGTCACAGATAGTCACAGGCAGACATTCACACACACAGTCACAGATAGTCACAGGCAGACATTCACACACACAGTCACAGATAGTCACAGGCAGACATTCACACACAGTCACAGATAGTCACAGGCAGACATTCACACACACACACAGACACAGATAGTCACAGGCAGACATTCACACACACAGTCACAGATAGTCACAGGCAGACATTTACACACACAGTCACAGATAGTCACAGGCAGACATTCACACACACAGTCACAGATAGTCACAGGCAGACATTCACTCACACTCACACACAGGCAGACATTCACACACAGGCAGACATTCACACACAGTCACAGGCAGACAGGCACACACACAGGCAGACATTCACACACACAGTCACAGGCAGTCACAAGCAGTCTCACACACACTCTCTCTCTCTCTCTTACTGGTGGAGGAATGGAGTCAGTGAGTCCCTGGTGTGTTGGAGTTGGGGAAGCAGGGACTCCTTCCTGCTTCCCCTCAGTGTGCTGCAGTGAAAGGCAGCAAATGGAGGCTGGCTGTAGCTCCGCCCCCGCATCCGGTTTGGCTCCGCCCCCAATTCTCAGTGCAGTACTCCTGTACTGCTGAATTCCCAGCCCCTGCTTGTATGAGCTGTGTGGTTCCCGGCGTCCTGTGCAGCTACACAGCTCACAGAGTCACAAGCCTGGCCAGCCCTGGAGGCACCCCCCTAAATGTTGGCACCCCCAACCTGGAATCACCCCCCTAACTGGTGGAACCCCCCTACCTGGTGGCACCCCCCCTAACTGGTGGCACCCCCTAAATGTTGGTACCCCCTACCTGGAGGCACCCCCCTACTTGGAGGCACCCCTTTAACTGGTGGCACACCCATACCTGGTCGCACCCCCCCTAACTGGTGGCACCCTCCTACCTGGTGGCACCCCCTTACCTGGAGGCACCCCCCTAACTGGTGGCACCTGGGGCGGACGCCACCCCCCCTTAGTACGCCACTGCCTGGGGTTAATTTTGGGTCTGCAGTACCTGTATTACACCATTCACTATCCGTGAGGTTTTAATTGCAGGGCACACAATATAATTTGTTTTTTCCGTGAGGTTGTATAAACTGCAGCAAGAGATCACTTGCTTGCCACCTTGGTCTCTGGAACTTTCAAAATGTCCAAGTTACTTGGGATCGACAAGTTGCTACTGTGAGCACCTTTATTATTATTATTTACAACATTGTATAAATTCTCCTCTGGGTGAGTTAATTCAGCCTCTTGGGACAGAATTGGTATAAACTTTCCTCCTTTGTTGGTAACAGCACATGTTCGGTTCCTAATATGACTTTTTATTTTAGCATGGGGGTCTCTTGTAGAAGTTAGCATTGTTATGTTTTTGGAGTTGGAAGAGCTGGGTATTCTGCCTTACATGTTTTAGAGGGATGTCGCATGGAGGCAGGCTAATTACAATCTGATACTGGCCATGTTGAATGTCGAAATTTGCTACACGTGCATTGCCAGCTGTCAGCCGGTCCTGCCAGTATTTCTTTTAGAACTTTTGGCACGCATAAACCTTTTCTGCAAATGTTACCCTTTTGTGAGGAGTTCACCTGCTGTTCTCACTTACTCAATCAATGGTGGCTCACAGCGGACAAGTCTAATCAGCCACACTGGTCACGATTTGTGTTACGCTGTTTCATTTTGGTTTACTGAGTTTAATATTATGTTTGTTATAACGCATAAAGTTAATTAGTGAAGCATATTATGGGGTTACAAAGGAACTGACACACACATATACGCAATACTATGTAAAATAGGACACGAAGTAGCTGTTAAAAGAATACTCCAAGCACTATAATTATTCCAGCACGCTGTAGTGGCTATGGTACTAGGAATGCCATGGTGCCCTAGAAGAATAGTTTATCAAACTGTACTGCAAGTTTTAAAATGGTCAGACAACTTGACTGGGTCCCCCCTGTGCCCACGATGTGTGAGATCTTCTCCTGCATGAGAAGCCCTCATGGCACCATAACCACTAACCCCGTATAATAGCATTGCATGATTAAAAATTATAGCTTCAGTATATTGAATGAGATATTTTATCATTTTCCAGTCTGATTTTTTATTTTTTTACCTGATAATGCTGTGAATCATACCAATGTGCAGTCTAAACTATTTGAAACACCTCTGAACTGTTTCCATGTCAACCCTAACAAATATGTTTTCAGCTGGATATTGTCTTTTGTAAATTATGTAGATACGGAGACCTTCGGACCTCAGTAACCCTGTAGGCAGTGGTACTATTATTGAACGGGTTGCATCTCCTAGATGTTTGTAGAATCTTGGTTTCCCTGGGGTTTAGATGATGTGATCAGTAAGGTTCCCTGCAGATGACTAGTTTCCAATACCTTCTCTGCCCCCATATGGCTCATTAAACAAGTCCACCCAGATTCACCTTAATGTGAATACAGATAACTGAATCCAGTTGGGGTTATTTGTTAATGCAAATTTGCCTTAGCATTTTCCATTCATTTACTCTGATGTCCCTGTAGGACAGTAATTTTAATACGGGGCAATCCTGTAACATCCAGGATATTGGTTTAGTTACAAATTCTTGATGCAAGGAAAAAAGTAATATAATACTGAAATGATTGCAAGAGAATTGTCAAAGTTACTTTGTTAATTATCCATGATTTAAAAGAAATCACAGTTAATTGATGTTATAATATGTTAGCAGGAGTGTCATTTCTAATGCCTCGTGGTCAACAATGGAAACGGCCCCTTTACCTCCACAAATAGGAATGTTGGAGAACAAATGTTTCTCTTGAACTGCACTTGGTAGTGTGCGATGCAGAAACCCATGTTAACCGCAATAACAAGATCTGATTCCCCCTGCCCTGATTGGGTATAGCGTCCACCATTAACTGGAGCGCTTAGAGAGCTAGAAAATGCACATGTACCCAGTTATGCTTCTTAAAAAAAAAAAATATATATATATATAATAAAGCATCAACTTATTCTGCAGTGGTGTACAATATGCAATAATAAAGGAAAATTCTCTTAACAGTGTTCAGTTATTAGTATTAAATGGGAAGAATTGCTGAAAACAAACTACACAGCAATGTAGCACTGTGGTCTTACAACGCGTGCACATCCACTGACACACTGGTCCAATAGAATGATTCTCATAGATCCGCAAAACAAACACAGATTTCTAAACAATATTTGAGAGAAATAGGCCTTTTGTGTACAAAGAAAAAGTCTTAGATCTTTGAGTTCAGCTCATGAAAAATGGGTGCAAAAACAAAAGTGTTGAGTTTATAATTTTGTTTAGTGTATTTTGTTGTTTAAAGAAACATTTAAAAGTATAGAAACTTTCAAAAATATATTATTCTTAGTGTCAAATGCAATTCTTACGATGTTTAACCCCTTAGTGACCGGGCCATTTTTCAATTTTATTACCGTTAAGAACCAGGGCTCTTTTTCTGCAGTGGTTGTGTTTAGATGTAATTTGCCTCTTACACATTTACTGTACCCATACATATTATATACCATTTTTCTCGCTATTAAATGTTCATTCTAAAGATACCATTATTTTCATCATATCATATAATTTACTAGAATAAAAAAAGTAAAATATGATGTAAAATAAAACACAGCTGGCCATCATGCACCCATGTCCCAGTTGGAACATTTCTGAAGCCGGCCAATGTAATTCACCTCCGTCAAACCGTAAGTTTTGGAAAAGTACCACATGGTGGCATTTCAACACTTTACATGCACTAATTCTACCACCAGTCTCTGTCAAACGTTTTTGTGGTTTTATTTTTCACTCACACATTCTACTTTGGGCATAGATTAGGTGTTACTGCCAAAGGACACCCCAATATGTGCTCGGCAACATCTCCCAAGTACAGCGATACCACCCATGCATACGTTTGTCGGGTTCACTGGGTGGTGCAAAGCAAAATGTCTGATATCTCAATGTATTTTCTTGCCATGAGCGTGCATATATTTGAAAAGTTGACACTGCGCAGTAGTTGAAGAACGTGTGTGGAGGTAACTGTTCAATCCTCATTTTTATACATGCACACTGCTTTTTGACTGTGATTTAGGAGAGCCCGTTGTTGGTTATTGCAAGAAAACACCCCAGGTTGTTTTCTGCAAGGCCTCCTTAGGACACCCATGCCCCCCATGCACGGGGTAAATGTAACAAAAAAAAAAAAGACACAAAAAAAATTAACGGCAAATGTTAAAAAATAAATAAAAAATGGACCAGCGTGTGATATCGTTTGAAGCAGTCGCAAATGCAGAGTCCAGGCTGTTCAGGGCAATCAGGACAGTAATATACACTATCTTTTCTCTGCCCCCTCTTACAACAGACCCTGCATCTTTTTTGGGGATTCTGCTTTGCTGCAGTAAGGGGGATTTTAAAAATAAAATGTGTAGCCCCAACTTTGCTCTCTCCCATCACCACCCGGGAGCAGGTGCATCACTGTACAAAATCCCCGAAATGATCTGGAGCTGAAACTGTAAAAATCTCAGTTGCGTCCCAGGGTTTGCTTTTTTGAACAACAAGAAAGCGTTGTGGGTTGCAGTCTGCATTAGGTAGATTGCAACCTTTTTGTAAAAGGCCCTTGTCTTTCGTATAATTAGGTAGGGCTGCAGCAGCTGATCTGCCAGATCAACCCCACCCATATGCCGGTTATAGGCCTTGATGCACACTGGCTTCCTTGTTCTCTCAGCTCTGCCACGTACAGGGACCTCCACAGTCCCCTCAGTGTGGATGGTGGTAAGAAGGTACACATCCTTCTTGTCTCTGTACTTAACTGCCAACAGCTCCTCTTGGCGCAGAGCTGAGGTCTCCCCCCTTCGTAGCCGGGTGCGTGCAAGTTGTCCTGGGAAACCTGTGCTGTTCTTTTTAATTGTGCCGCAAGCTACTGTATCAAAACAGTACAGTAGCTTGAACAAAGGGACACTTGTATAAAAATTGTCAGTATACAAGTGGTACCCTTTGTTCATCAGGGGGAATATCAGGTCCCAGACAATCTTGCCACTGGTTCCCATATGTTCTGGGCAACCTGGAGGGTCAAGGTGGCTATCCTTTCCCTCGTACACCCAGTCTCGCTATCACAGAGCTTATACATCTTTACACCATACCTAGAGCGCTTGGAAGGAACATACTGCTTGAATCCCAGCGTTCCCTTATACTTCATCAGGGATTCATCCATGCATATATTCCTTCCAGGTGTATAAGCCTCTGCAAACCACAGATCTATCTCCCTCTCTCACTAAAACACAAGAGAAGAGAGAGAGGCAGATCCACACTAATCAGAGAAATGGGGAACACACTTGGGATGAAATTGCTAATGGGGGAAGCTGTGATTGGATGACCCCAGCCTGCCCCTTATGATGCGGCATGCAAGGGACATCCCCAGAAGCCCCATGATTCACTGCCTTTAGAAAGGGGCGGGGGTTAATATTGATCATTTTATATATATATATATTTTTTTTTTTTTAAATATATATTATTATATATGCACTGAGTGCCAGGACCCCTCGAGGCACTCAGCACATGCAGAGCATCACTGCAATACTATCAGAGCTTCCAGAGCTCAAAATAGCTGCAGACGTACCAGGTACGCCCAAGGTCATTATGGACCATTTTCTGCCAGACGTACCTGATATGTCCGCGGTCGGGAAGGGGTTAAATGCGGAGTTCACTCCCCTTTGTATTTTATAGATGATTTTCTTAACATTTATTCTAGTGATGTAATTGATACTTTATTTTCTCTAGCCATTGTTTTAATATTCTGTGTTTCTTTACAATGAAAAATAGTATAAAGATTATAAAATAACAAGTAACACCAGTAAAGTTATTTTTCAGCTGGTTAACCGACACCGGTGTGTTCTGCTTGGTTTTCCATTTTCTCTCTTCTAAGCTAAAACCAAAGATTTTCTGCTGCTGTAGAAATCACAATTTAATACCAAAAATAATGGCACTTTATCAGTACAAATTCTTTATTTTTATTGATGCATTTTATAGTCTCAAAGCAGCATTTATAAAAAGAAAAACAAAAAAAGATTTTAAACACACGTTGCGTAAAAGTGACACACTTTTATATTTTGTTGAATTGTATGCTTTGTGTCTTTGTAGTAAGACAACGTTTTGATATTTCTTTTTCTCCTTAAGCTGCTGTGCCAGTTGGTACACGTCCAGTTTGCTATGAAAAGTGATGTTCCGGTATGAGGCATTACAATGTCCTCAAAAGGGAGAGTAGTTCGATGTCGGACCAAATGCACAACCACCAGCACAGAGTATTTTGGGAAGCTGCTTCATTCACCATAGCAGCATGTATTGCTTTTGTGTTTTAGCAGTATGCAAGCAAGCACATTCGTCCAATGGCATAAAAAAAAAAAAAAAAACATTCTGTTGCTGATCTTGCTGCTCTGCCATGCAAAATTAAATTTTCTGACTTGTTCATTGTCCTCATTCCTTTAAAAAAGTTAAGTAACTCAAGCATGATATGGGATAATTTCGGTAGTGCAGAATCCTTGGCTAACACATTCATGCTATCAACTTTTTTTCTGTAACAAATTTTGCTACTGTGGACGACAGGAAACAGGTATCATAGGGAAGTTATGGGGGTGAGGCCTGTTGTTGAGAATGATGGGTCAAAATAGGTGGAGGTGGGAAGTAACCATAATATTGCTGTTTGCACCTTTCAATAGGCAGTCTTCTCTGACCCCACCACCTCTCTGCGCTCCCTTATACATGGTATAGCCCTCTTACTCTTAGTATAACTTGGAAATCCAGCACTGAGGCTCTGTGAGCTCTCATATAAAACAGAAAAACACATGACTTCCAGCTCTTTTGGTTTTCTCCTGTCCAAGAAAAGGGGCCCTTTACCCATTTCCAAGACTGAGCAACATGGATGAAGCTGAACAGACGGACAGATAGATATCTTACTTATCGGAAGATCCAAAATGCACAATTTAGGTTTTCTCCCCGGCAGGTCTCTGTGTACACATTGGAAGATGAGACAGGGAACATGAGTGGCCTCCATTCTCACCCAGCCTGGGACTTCCAATGGTTGGTAGCATGGGAGGAGCACTTTGGCTCCGAAGAGGCAATTCGCTTTTAACTTCTTCTCTGCAATTCTTACGGATGACTGATGGCAGCTCCTCAGTTTGCATGGTAGAGGCAGGCCTGGGTAAAGGTGAGGAAGAGACCAGATTGTTGTGCAGAAAAAGAATGACCCCACAGTTGTTTGTATGTGGTCCACAGATTTCCTGTTCTAAAGCCATGTTGAGATGATGCAAATCAGCCTGGCTCAATGAAGGGTTAGGAATAGGAGCAGTGTGCATCCAGGTTAAATTCATGGAGGGCCACTCTGACAAAACATGCATTCTGTCTTTACAGAGACAATCTGAGTGTGACTGTTTCAAAACAGGGGACTGAATTGGGGTTTCTTCAGAATCAGTGTTAGATGAAGGGAGCTCAGTCAGCGGACATCTCCTTGCACTCAAGCAGTCAACCTTTGGAAGCTGCAGAATGTAAAAAGGCAGAATCAGACAACTATTCACCTTTACACCACACATGCGACATCTACAAAATGGGTAAAATGGTTATGGTTAAGTAAGAAACCTTGGAGAAATATAAAAATAGATGGATATCACAAAAAAGTTCACTTGGCTGCACTTGTTTACAAATTAAAATTCCAATATATACATATATATCTCACACTGCAGAGAGCCCCAGGAGGAAGGATTTCCCAAGTAAGTGGAAATCATAGGAGCAGGCACTAGGTTGCTAGGGACGGACCTGCCAAAAATTACGTACATTGACATTGTGGCAGCTTTATGTAATGTATGATCATATAATGTAACTAAACCCACATTATTTTTGCCTAAGTCAGGAGTTTTTAACATAGACAATCACTAGTTGGTCTGTCGCATACCTTAGCAATCTTATAGTGAGGTTCTTCCTTTTCACAATCTGAAGATGATGATGCAGATGAGGAGCTGGTAACAGTGGGGAACCAAATCTTTAACATCATTTCAACTTGAAGCAGGGTGCCCAAGTACCGTTCACTGTAATTCAAACAGTCAAAACATTAAAAACTGCAACTCTTTGTAGTGTGACAGATAAATGTAGCAATGATAATGCATAGTCTTGTAAGGAGCTACGGTGATGATCCACTGCTCGTGAATGTGCTCAGGTGACGGTATGAAACTTCTGTTGGTGTCTTTAAGTGTATCCAGATAGCACTGCAGCCGTGCAGACTTGTAGGGGCACTGGCGTGGCAAGTGGGAAAAGTTCAAATGACCTGTGCTGTTAACCCTACAGTGCACACATTCTACAAGGTGACACACACATCCATATATACACCTCACCAGCAAGGTAAGACAAGCAAAATCAAAAGAGTTGAGGAGGGGAAGAATTGCTCTTTACTATCAATGGGGAGATTGAAAGTTTGCTCTACTAGTGGAAGGCAGGGTAGAGGGAGAGACTAGACTACTACTGGTACTGTAGAGGGGAAGGGGAGAAAATAGGCTACTACTGGTACGGAGGATGGGCGGGGAAGTGAATAGGCTACTACTGGTACTAGGTAGGGAAAAGAATAGGCTACTTGGTAGAGGAGAAGGAAAGAATAGGCTACTACTGCTACTGGGCAGTGGAGAGGGAGAGAATAGGCTACTACTGGTTTCTAGGTAGGAGAGAGAATAGAATACTACTGGTACTGGGTAGGGAAAAGAATAGGCTACTGGGCAGGGGAGAAGGAGAGAATAGGCTACTACTGCTACTGGGCAGTGGAGAGGGAGAGAATATACTGTACTGGTTTTGGGTAGGAGAGAGAATAGAATACTACTGGTACTGGGTAGGGAGAGAAAATGAGCTACTGGTACTGGGCTGGGAAAAGAATAGGCAACTGTTTCCTTTGACTCCTCTGCTTTTTCGAAATGAAAATAAGGACCAAATACATTGATCTTTTCATTTTACTAAGACTTACCCCATTTGTGGCTTTTGCAGAACACCAATAATCCTTTGTATCCGATCCATTGCTACACTCTGCTGGAAGGTGCTTAACCCTGTAATCAAGAGATTTGTTTTTAATATATTTTAGAAGTGGTTGGACAGTGCAGACTCACTGCAGTACGACATGTTCTGGCTATACAAACACAAGTTCAGTAACAGATTTACAGATTTCACAAGTGAGGAAATGGATAATTACAATATTGTGATGCTCTTGGGAAGGGAAATATTTATTAAATAGCCCTAGACAAGTTTGTACTTCTCCTGCACATAGACTTCAGTTTCTTTCCTTACTTAGTCTATATGCGTTGTATACATCTAAATATACAATGTGACATACTGTGTTTCAGTATAAGCCAGTTTCCTGTAAATTTTACTAACAGCACAGAATATTTATCTAAGTAATGCCTTTGTACTGTCTTACCTCAGATAACCCTGCAACAGCCACTGGATTGATAGCTCTAATAATATCTGTGTGTGCAAGGTTGGTTGAGGTAAAATGCCAGTACAGCAAGGAGGGGCTGGGAGGAAACTAAGCAAAACATTTTTTTATAGGAAAGCCCTATCTAACGTCTTAGAGTATACTCCAAACATCATGACTTCAAATCTCTATGCATACATAATTACTGCACTAAAAAAACTGCAACAGCCATAAGCCCAGCCTCCTGCTGAATGTCATCACAGGTACGTTATTTCCAATCATTAGAGGGGGGGGGAGAGGGGGAGCGTAATGTCCCTGTAATGACATTCATAGCTCCATTATCTTTGACAGGCTCTCTAGTAGTTTTCAGTGAGCTGCATAGATTCCTTTAGTTTAACTAGTATAAAACTTGGATGAAGCCGATTGGAAAACTGATAAAGGCCTTCCACAGTTGTTTCATTTATGTATTTTCCTGAATGAAACTACACCTGAAGGGTTTATGGGATATGCTCAGCACTCACTTTGAGTAAAATTATTAGGGAAGGATTGTCTGAGAGCAGCACTGCCTGCAAGGTAGAATCATTATATCTGTTGTCAGAATTGACATTAGGCACCCCAGAGCACTTGAGTTCCAAACCACCAAAATCACGAGTGACAGGGGTGGCAAGGAGCCACTGGCACACACGTGAAAATATATCAGTATGTGCAGTGTTACAAGCAGAATCTCTGCACATAAAGACTACCACCACCAGTAGAGCTAATGGAAACTCCCTGCATGACCTTCCCGGCTTCCAGGGAGTTGGTGTGACGGCAGCTGGTGGACACCAGTTAAGTCGTTAAACTGTTTTTGAAAGCTTTGACTATGTATACTGGGAGGCGCCAAAACACTCCTGGTACCATAATCACTACAAGGGCTGTTATGAGTACAGTAATTGTAGTGTTCCTTTAAAAGTAGAAATCTACACTGCTGTATCTACTGCATTGCCTCTATCTTGGCTCCCCATCAATTATGTTTAAGTTCTGTCCTTTGCAAGACCCAGCATAGAAAAAGAAAACCAGAAACAATGCAATGGGTGCCCTGGCTGTTCCAATACTGAACTGGATTGTCATGACAAATGCTAAATCTGACATATGGATCTAAAAGAAAATAGAGGAGCACCTTAAAAATTTTAACAAAAAAGTTATATTCAGAGAAGTGTCAGTTCCCCATGTCATACAACTAGTTGGGTTACTGTAGCAGGCAGTGCAAGAGAGTACCATCTGACAATGAGAGGACCATAGGACAGCAGCAATATTATCTTCATTTAATATTGTTGGAAAAGCTTTTAAAATTATTAAATTTTTTTTGGATAGACTTTTACATTGTTTTTTACCTGCCTCAAATGATCAAAACAAAAATATCATTTATAAAAATATATCAAAATTAAAATACTTTTCATAATATTAAATGATTAAAGTGTATCCAATAAGGTTGAATCATTTGCACAGCTAATCCAAAAGCCTCTCTGTACAATAAAAACCAGTCTCCCGATGTTACATGTGAAACTGGGAACAATTAAACAAAGCACTGCTGGATGTTATGTAATACAGGGAAGGTGCAGCCACAGTATCAGGCTGTTATAATCTGCCTGAACCAACACCTTCTAATCTGTCAGTAATGTGTATGCACACGCAGAAAACAGGTTTTGACAAAATATCCCATCTAGGAGATAATGGAGCACATTTACAAGTAACTCCTTTCACTATGAACTATTAAATGCTTCACTTGGACAAATACATACTTTTTGCTATTACTGTATTCGAATAATGCATATACAGGTTACATTTCTAGCTGGAAAATCACTGTAAGCAACAGTACCTGTAGCAATTAACTACATAGCTACTGAAGGCAAAGCATAGTACAATTTAGCAGTGTTCACTGGCTCACCCTGTGCTGACTACTAATAATATAATATCTCTAGATCTAAAAAAAACACACAAAACAGGTATGGAAAATGCATGTGAGTTTATTCACCAAACAGTGAATGCTATTGATCGCCAGATTAATTTTATAAATGTAGGCCAGAAAAGCCAACATGTGGATACACTTGAGTTTTAGAATGCTTTCAACAGTTAATATAAGTGCCAAAGCAATAAAGCTATTCACCTCTCTCATAACGCCCCTTCTTCAGCCCATTTAGAAGATCTGTCAGAGGCTTGATGAACCCTTGGAGTTCCTGGCACTGTAATGAAATAAAACATTATGTTAAGTTTCAACAAGGACAGAAGTGACAGTTTAGCAAGGAAATAAAATAATAATAATTAAGGAGATACTAGAAACCAACTGATTCTATACAACTGATTATCTTTCCTTTATGTATAAATACAAATTCAGTTGGCATTCTAGGAAGCAGAACCAATGGCCCGCTTTGTTCTTTGGTGCCATCCTCCTGGTTCATGGCAAACCATTTCAAGTGGTTTGACAACATTTTTTTTTCTTTTTGCTGTAGTTCAGATAATGCTAGAGTGAACTTGAAAATAGTTTGACACTAACTGAGTCGGGGTGAAGCCACGTGCAAAGAATGTTTGCACCATAGGTGTATGGTGCTTAGAATGACCTTTAATGTGCTATATAAAGCGACACTAAGAAACAAAACTACTACTTCTTACATAGAAGCTGTAATGCACATGTTAAATATAAACATCGCTTTTGTTAGATGTTCTGTATGGAACATTTCTACCTGTGGGATATTACTTCACTGCAGAGAGATTTACATACATTAGGATGCTCAAACTTGCAGATGAAAATTAAGTTCGATAAATGCAAAGTTATGCACATTGAGGTGAAGAATGCACAAGAAACTTACACACTTAATGGTAGTGAATTAGGGATTACAACACATGAGAAGAATTTGGTAATTGTTACAGGATTTGGGAATTTTTATATACACAACAAACTAAGCAACAATGTGCAATGTTAATAAGCAATTGCTAAGGCCAGTATCGATGGTAAGACCACACCTATAATATGCAGTGTAATTATGGCACCTGCTCTAAAGAAAGTTATTATAGCACTAGAAAAAGTGCAGAGGTGACCTACAAAATTATTAAAAGAAATGGAAGATAAAGAAAGGTTAACAGATTTTAAACTGTTTAGTTTAGAAAAATGGTGCCTCGGTGAGTATATAATCGCATTATACAAATATATGCAAGGCCAATGCAAACTAATGTCTGGAAATCTATTTATAAATAGGACACGAGGTCACCCATTTAGACTGGAATAAAGGAGATTTAGTCTAAGGCAAAGGAAATGGTTCTTCATAGTAAGAACAATAAGAATGTGGAATTCTCTGCCTTAAAAGGTGGTTTTATCAGAGTCTTTACAGATGTTTGAGCAGCAACCAGTTGAATTCTTGCAAAATTTTAATACTCAAGGATATAATTTCTGAAACAACTTCTTGATGCAAGGAGAAATATGACTGCCATTTTGGGGCCAAGAAGGATTTCTTTCCTAGTTTGTTGCAAACATGAAAAGTGCTTCAAACTCTCTCCCCATCCCCCCCTCCCCTCCCCTTTTGGATCAACAGCAAAAGTTGATACGAGAAAGGCTGAACTTGGAAGTCTTTTTTAGCCTATATAGCTATGTAACTATGATATTGATTTATATATTCATAATTTGAATTTTTGGTCCAACAGCACTCCACAAAGCAACTGGAACTCATGGACTGGAAACTCACACAAGGGATTAGCAAATAGGCAGTAAACTCTACTGGCAGGCTGATTAAGTTATACTGGCCTTGGGGATTAATGTAATACCTTCAAGATCAAACACAACTGCAAGCGGCAGTTTGCGTAACACACTGAGATTGACACTCCAGAGTTTATAATCTTAGAAATTAGGCCTTGACAAAAATCTTATTATTCAAACTAAAAAAAAACAAAAAACTACTTCAGCTCATTGCAGTTGTTATGGGAGCCAGGTGCTGTCTTACATTCAGTGGCTAAAAAAAAAATAAAAAATTCCATCAAGTCGAACCTTTAAAATCCAGGGCCGGTGCAAAGATTTCTGCCGCCCTAGACTAAGATCCATTTTGTCGCCCCCTCATGTAACTTACTCACTGACAGACACACACACTCATTGACAGACATACACTCACTCACTGACAAACACACACACACACACACACACAGATTGACATACACACACTTACTGACATACATACACTCACTCACTGATAAGACACACACACACACACACACACACACACACACACAGATTCACTGACAGACATACACTCACTCACTGACAAACACACACAAAGATACTCACTGATATACATACATACACTCACTCACTCACTGACAGACACACACAGACACTCACTGATAGACAGACACACACACACACACACACACACACACACACACACACACACACACTGACAGTCAAACACTCACCTCCCTGGGGTCCAGTGTGGGGCAGCTCCTCACTCCTCCCGCCTGCTGTTTAGTATGCCGGGGCAGGATTGTCATTTTCTGTCTCCCAGAATCACAGACTGCGCGTGAGGGAGGAGTGAGAAGCTGCGAAAACAGCCTCCCTCGCCACCTGCCTTTTCCGTCCCCCTCCCCTCAGGCATTTTTCACCGGCATTTTTTGGCAGAGCAGGCACCTGCCATCAAAAAGCAGGTGCCTGCTCTGCCTTACCTAATAAAGCTTTGGGGTCGCCCTGAGGATCACCTTCGGGCACCTTGAGGATCAGCCCAGCGGTGGAGGCGGCTCAAGAGCCGCTCGCACAGCGCTGCGGCCCCAGACAGGGGCAGGAAGCTCACAAGGAAACATCCCGGTTCCTGTTAAAACCCATTCCTTTATGCTATTACTCAAAAAAAAAGACAACAAATATTACACCAATTGTAGCGATTTTCAAATACAGTATGCCAGAAAAATTCCTTCTAGACTCCATAATGGAAGCCAGAGCTCTCCTTGGATCAACAACTTGTTCACATGCGTATTAGTTATATCTTAGAATATTGTTTGCAAAATAAGCATCCAAGTCTCTTTTACTAATATCTATATAATCTGATATACAACCTATTTGAATTCCACATCTTTATTGTTCTTACTGTAAAGACACCTTTCTTACAGTCTCAATGGTGTTGAGACTGTAAGAAAGCAGCATGTTTTTGGCTGGCAAGGGTTAAGGGAGACTGATGTTTGTTAGCAGATTAAGGAAATATGTGCTTCTGCCAACACAGTATGAGATTAAGAAAAGTTTGTTGTTCAGGTAACATACCTTCTGAGCAAATATTCTGTCTCCTTCCGATGCAGAATAGGCCTGTTCCTTTCTCTCCTTCCACCAATCTCTAGGCAATTCTGCCTCTTGTTTCCATTGCCTTTTGAGTCCATGAGGGGCTTCAGGATTTGTGTCTTGGCTAATGTAGTGCTTCAAATGTTTTTCTTCATTTTTGCTACCAAGTGGTGAACCCCTGCTTGTGACAGTGTTCTGACTAGTGAAGGAGAGCCTCCCATCTATCTCTTGCATATGTCCAAAATACCGTCCTGATCGCTGATACCAATGAGATTTCCGTGCTTGGTATTCATTCTCCAAGCGTATTAAGACAGGGTGGTCATTGCTGCTAAGCCTAGAATTTGGAATCATCCTCACATTATCCATGTCCTCTTCTACTTTATTGGCTTCCTCCAAACCCCCAGAAAGGAAGACACCAAAATCCACGTAGTTGGTATCTTCTCTGCCACTGACGGCTGTGCTACCCACTGAATAGATGGAGTCGCAAGAGGACAGAAAATCAGATGACTCTGTATCTTCCATGAATGAATTAAGAGCCTACAGAGACAAAAACAGAAACATTGAAATACAGCACAGAAAACATTTCCAAAATTAGCAAATAAATGCACTCTGCTCTGCGAATCCTAGGCGACATGCCAGCCACATCTTAAAGGACCACTAAGGGCACCCAGACCACTTTATCTCAATGAATTTGTCTGGGTGGAATAGAGAATTACGTTTTAATCCTGTGATGTAAAGCATTGCCGTTTAACAGATGCTTACATGCTTACATTGCAGGGTCAAACACACCTCTCTTGACTGTGTCCCTGACAGCCACTAGAGGTACTTTTAATGTTAGAACCGAATAAAACTTGGGTCTCACAGGTTCACCTCCATTTGATTGGAGGAGCACAGAACTGGCTGCAAATGTGCTTTGCTTCCCCAATGCTCCTCTATGATGTTGCATAAGATATATCAAGTGGCTGCAGGGACTGGATTTCAGTACTGGAAGAAAGGTTAAATAAGTAAAACCCTTTTTACTCCATATTTTATTTAGATCACATTATTCAGATGGTAAGAGGATAAGATATTTTACACATGATATGCCCCCTGGTGGAGTTTCTGTACAAACTACACTATGACAGCCTTCAAAGGGGTGTGCACTTTTTAGTTTATTAGTTGGGAGTTACTAGTTACCAGGAGTCTGGTAGCAGACTTATGACACCTGACAAAATTTTGCAATCGCTGGGCCAAGAATGCAGAGACATGTGCAGAGGGAGTCGCTGCTCTACTATCAAACTGGGTCACTCTGTACGCATGGTTCATCATATACAGTACATACGTTTAAGATCTGAAAGTGAATTCAATACAGTATAATTGCTCTGAGTCGAATACCTTCAAATTTACTTAACATTTCCAGAGTTGCACATGTTTGCACATTTAAGCCATTAACACAAAAGTATTAATATAATAATACTAATTAAAAATTGAATGTCAAAATCCGGGCGAGCCAGCTGCCCGATTCCAGAATTATGCAATCTTTTGGCAACCTCATTAAAACAAAATACCAAAATTAGTTAAGACTGTACATGGGAGTTACAGTCCATAGCATTCTGAAGGCAGATAACCCCTAATCCTAACATTCTTAAATGCCAAAGACGTGACACATGATATGCCCCCTGGTGGAGTTTCTTAGAAACTACACTATGATAGCCTTCAAAGGGGCGTGCACTCTTTTTATTAGTTGGGAGTTACTAGCTACAGAAAGACTGTTAGCAGGCTTAGGACACCTGACAAAATGTTGCAACCAGCTTGGCCAAGAATGTAGCAACATGTGCGGAGGGAGTCGCTGCCCTATTATCAAACTGGGTCACTCTGTACCCAAGATTCTATCATATACAGTTCATACCTTTAAGATCTGAAAGTGAATTCATCACAGTATAATTGCTCTAGTTAAGTCGAATACCTTCCAATCTACTTAACATTTCAAGAGTTGCACATGTTTGTCACAAACATATGGTGCAAATTTGAAATCATTAACCGAAGTGGGTTAAAATAATACTAATTAAAAATGTGCTGCCAAAGTCAGGGCGAGCTAGATGCCTGATTCTAGAATTCTTTAATCTTTTGGCAACCCATTTAAAAATACCAAAATTAGATAAGAATCAATAGCCATACAGCCCATAGCACTTTGAAGGCAGATAGCCCCTATTCCAAACATTCCTGAATGCTAAATGTCTAATCCTACGCGTACCCCAGCTTGCTTAGCCCAACTTCTCTGTAATTATACAAATGCAGTGGATTCATTGCCGCTCAAAAGGCACTAGAAATGTATGCACTACAACAGTGAATTGGGGACTGAAGAGCAAAATTTAGACACAATTAGCAGATTATGGAAAAGACTCCAACTCTGCTCCAGTGGCAGCTTGGTTATTCAATAGCTCCTAAAGCCTGTTATTATACGATCAATACTATTGCCCCATTGTCCACTGAAAGCTCTAACTAACTTTATATGGTACCACAAAATTGCTGAAGCAAATGGAATAGTGTTTTGTTTCTTTATACCTGAACTTACTGCAGAATGCAATGTCTCTTATGAACAGGCCAACCTCTATTTCCATAAAAAGATGTGTCCTACTAGCCTTTTTAGGTACAATTTGTCTTAACAATAGACTTCCTTGACGTTAGTAGCACTCCTTATTGTAAATGTCAGTACAGCATAACAATATGAAGAAAGAACATTGGTTTATTAATTAACCAGATGTCAACAGTGGGTTGCGCATTTATTTGGCCATGATTGGGTATGGTTACGAAATCCAGACAGTTCAGTTTACATTCTCAGGGAATGTCTCAATTCAAAATTTACCATAAACTTTTATTTAAAGGGACACAATAGTTACCAGAACAACTCTAGCTTAATGTAAATACTGCTTTTTTTCAGAGAAAAGGCAGTGTTTACATTACTGACCAGTACCTCTAGTGGCAGTCATACCACTAGATGCATGCGCATTTGGTCCCTAATACTCCTTTATGATAAACTGTGCTATATAATCAACTACAACACCATGGTTTGAAAACCTTCTCATTTCTACAAAAATACAAACTACTCTTTTTTTTTCTTCCAACACACCCAATACTATATACTCATTATTTTCATTGAATCCTTCAACTTCCTGCATTTCCACCCCACAAATTACCTATGTGATATCAACCAAGACCAATGCACAGCGAGAACTGAATCCAGACAGAAGCATGTAACAGCCAAACATTATTTTATTTGACAAAACAATGATACATATACAGTTATGTATCAAATTGTGTAAACCTATTAAAGCAGTAGCAAAATTAACCTTACTACAAATCCAGTGACCTCCTCCATGCATTCTCAGCCTACACAACAAAGATATCACATTGTTCCCTTGACTTTTTACTGGCTAATTTGATCCTCTACTTCCTCCACAAAGATATATTTTTCTATAGACCTATTCAATAAAACCTCTGACCTTCTCCAAGGATCTTTTATTTCTACCAGAAATATGTATTTCTTCCACTGCCACAAATCATTCTACACGTGCCACTAATCTTCTTCTAGCACAATGTTACCATATTATTACCTCGACAGAGGCACTCCACAAAAATATATCAAATTCTCTCATCCACTTCTGTAAAAACATGACTATTACCACTGATCCCCATTCACATATCCAATCACTTCTTCCACTTATCTCCCAACACAAATGCAGCATATTAGTGTCTCTATATCTCCTATAGCAAACATCTTCAGACTTATCTAAGGAAACAAAACTTCCACCACAACCCTCCTATAATAAAACCTTTAACCCTTTTCACGTATCCTCCGCCATATCAAATTTAAATATCTTTAATACATCCAATCTCCTCCATTGAGCCACAACCTCAACAAAAAAGATTCTTGTATCTCTTTCTATAATATCTTTAGTTCAACTGCAGAACTTCAACACCCAACACAAAATATAATATTCTCCTCCCAACATCTTCAATAAAACATTTTATTCACCAATAAAATACCAAAAATGATAACCTACTTCAAACCAATTCTGATATAACTTCTGTAAAACTCTAATTTCACGTAAACACAGAAATTGGATTTGTTTCCCACACATACAATTCATACAACAATAATACATTGTATCCATTATTTTTTATTTCTCTCTTGTGTGCGGGACATAAAGCTTGAAATTAGTCTGTACCAGCAACATCAGCAAAAGGGAGGAGTAACTGGAATACATTTTCTGCAATATTCCCAAACCTGGTGCGCTCACAAAGCTAGACTATCGAGATATATTAACCTATTAGCCGCTTGAAGAAGATGGTTATTCTGTAATAAATCGGGTAAACACACAATCTTTTACTGCACTATTAAAATATGGGTTAAATAATCTGCATAGGCGAATGGATACATGCCAGGCTACAGACATAAACAGAGTCCAGCTACAAAAACCTTGCTTTCATTGTCAATGATGCCTTTAGTCACTTGTCTGACGTGATCGGAAAAAATGCACATTGCTCCGAGACAAAACCTCATATATTTATATAGCTGACGATAGATACATATATCTATTTTCTTTGATGAATGAAACCCTGCAGCACAAGCAACAGCCATGTATACCAGTTCCTTTCTTTGTGTAGACTATAAAGGATGCTGCAATATAGGGGTCAGATAGCTTGTCTCACTCATACAGGGAGCCCCCAGGCTACTCACCGCCAGTATGTCTGAATCCCTGTGCCTCTTTGTTCTGTCTGTACTGTTTTGGGAGGTGTCTATGCCTCTATTATGGATCTCTCCTCCCAGTGACTGAATACAGCAGACGCCCCCAAATACTGTATGTAATGGTAACGTGCTAGGTGGCTCATGGAGTCAGACTAAATATAGCTGTCCTGCTCCTCTCGCTAGCTGAGGAAAGCCCTGTCTCTTATGCCAGTGTAGATGTTGCTCAGTATGTCTCTTCCTAATGTGCGAATTTGTGTCTGGCACAAAATGACTCACAATATTGGAAGTCTCACTGTGTATGACAGTTTATATTAGTGAAGGTCCCTCAATGATTGTTTCTACAGGTTGGGATCTCCTAGTAAAAGAAGTTATCTAAGAGAGGGATATCAACGTCGGGAGGACTCTTGGTTTTTGGGAGGTGTTTGAGTAGTGTGGTATTAGTGAATGTCTCTCGGGATCACTCAGTATTGGAAGTATCAGCAAAGATCTCTTACTGTAGTGAGATCCCAGATTCAATAAAAGTGTATGTATGGGGTCTCTCGATGTATCTTTGTAGAGATGGAGATCTCAGTGAAGTCTCAATCTAAGATGGTCTCTCAGTATATGGAGGTTTTAGAAAGTGTCTGTCAATGTATAGAGATCTTTTGATATATAAAGGTCTAAGTGACTGTCTCTCAGTCTATGGAAGAAACAGTGAAAGTCTCAATAGGATTTCTCACTGTGTAGGTGTCTCAGTACATAGAGTTAGTTCTCTGTCAGTGAGAGACTCACTGCATGGATGTCTCTTGGTATGGGTTATTAGTTCCAAAGTCTAACGAGGGACTGTACAATCCCCTCAGTAATATTCTCTTAATACATGGAAGTTTCTCTAAATAGGCAGCTATTAAAGGGTCAGTGTATATGAAGGTTACTATTGGATGTGTCTTTATATCAAGGTTTCACTGTTACTATGCAGGTAATGGGGGTCGCTATATGCAGCTATTCGGGGTCTATTTATGGAGGTCTGAGAGTATACCGAATTGGGGTCTCTGTGTATAGAGATCTCTCTGAGTATGGAGTATTGGGGTCTCTGTGTATAGAGATCTCTCTGAGTATGGAGTATTGGGGTCTCTGTGTATAGAGGTCTCTGAGTATGGAGTATTGGGGTCTCTGTGTATAGAAGTCTCAGACTATTCAGTATTTGGGTCTATGTGAATAGAGGTCTCTGACTATTCGGTATTGGAGTCTCTGTGTATAGAGGTCTCTCTGAGTTTGGAGTATTGGGGTCTATGTGTATAGAAGTCTCAGACTATTCGGTATTGGGGTCTATGTGTATAGAGGTCTCTGACTATTCGGTATTGGGGTCTATCGGTGTATAGAGGTCTCTGACTATTCGGTATTGGGGTCTCTGTGTATAAAAGTCTCCGACTATTCGGTATTGGGGTCTATGTGTATAGAGGTCTCTGAGTATGGAGTATTGGGGTCTCTGTGTATAGAAGTCTCAGACTATTCGGTATTGGGGTCTATGTGTATAGAGGTCTCCAAGAATATTCAGTATTAAAGGTCTCCCTGAGTATGGAGTCTTGGGGTCTCTATGTATAGAGGTTTCTGACTGTTTGGTAATGGGGTCTATGTGTAGGTCTCTCTGAGCATTCACTATTGGTGTCTCAGTGTATAGAGGTCTCTCTGAGCATTCACTATTGGGGTCTCGGTGTATTGAGGTCTTTCTGAGCATTCAATATTGGGGTCTCGGTGTATAGAGGCCTCTCTGAGCATTCAATATTGGGGTCTCGGTGTATAGAGGCCTCTCTGAGCATTCAATATTGGTGTCTCAGTGTATAGAGGTCTCTCTGAGCATTCAATATTGGGGTCTCAGTGTATAGAGGTCTCTCTGAGCATTCAATATTGGGGTCTCAGTATATAGAGGTCTCTCTGAGCATTCAATATTGGGGTCTCAGTGTATAGAGGTCTCTCTGAGCATTCAATATTGGGGTCTCAGTGTATAGAGGTCTCTCTGAGCATTCTGTATAGTGGTATTTGTAAGTATTCAGCATTGGGGTCTCGGTGTATAGAAGTCTCTCTTAGTATGGAGTATTGGGGTCTCTGTGTACAGAGGTCTCTCTGAGTATTGACTATTAGGGTCTCTGTATATGGTGGTCTCTTAGTACGCCAGTCTATCTAAGTATACAGGTTTTTATTGTCTCCATATGGAGGAATAATTCAGTTTAACAGGAGTCTCACAGTTTATGAAGTTATCAGCGCGGATCTTTCAGGAGAAATCAGGGATGGTCTCTTTGTGTTCTTAGGGTCTCAGTGATGGTCTCTCTTTAGTGCAGCTTCCAGTGAGGATCCAGAGGAATGTTGAGTGTCTCTCTTTGTATGGGAATCTCCCAGAATGTCTCTCTGTGTATGAGAATGTCTCTCTATGTATGGGAATCTCCCAGAATGTCTCTCTGTGTATGAGAATGTCTCACTATGTATGAGAATCTCTCAGGGTGTCTCTCTATGTATGAGAATCTCTCAGGGTGTCTCTCTATGTATGAGAATCTCTCAGGGTGTCTCTCTGTGTATGAGAATCTCTCAGGGTGTCTCTCTGTGTGTGAGAATCTCTCAGAATGTCTCTCTATGAATGAGAATCTCTCAGAATGTCTCTCTGTGTGTGAGAATCTCTCAGAATGTCTCTCTGTGTATGAGAATGTCTCTCTGTGTGTGAGAATCTCTCAGGGTGTCTCTCTGTGTGTGAGAATCTCTCAGGGTGTCTCTCTGTGTGTGAGAATCTCTCAGGGTGTCTCTCTGTGTGTGAGAATCTCTCAGGGTGTCTCTCTATGTATGAGAGTGTCTCAGAATGTCTCTCTATGTATGAGAGTGTCTCTTTGTGTGTGAGGATATCTCAGTGTGCAGGTCTCTCAGTGTGTGCAGGTCTCTCAGTGTGTGCAGGTCTCTGTGCTGTGCTGTCTCTCTGGGTGTGTGACATGCTCTGTGTGTGTGTCTCAGGCTCTCCCTCCCTCTGCAATCACTCGCACACAAACACGTGAAGCTCCGCACGTGCCTCCCCCTGTGCGCCCGTGTCCGCTCTGCCATTGGCCCGCGCTGGACGCCCCTCTCGCCGAAACACCGCTTTCCAGCGCTCCTATTGGCTTAGGCTGGAGAGGGCGGTGGCATATGGGCGGCGGGATAAGCGGATTGGCCGAGCCGCCGCGCGCCTGGCCCCGCCCCTGCATGTGGACCGGTCTTGCGCTGAAACTGCAGGCTGTGTGCAACGTGAGGGGAGGGGGAAAGGGCGGGAAAAGGAGGGGGAAAGGGCGGGAAAATGGGAGTGTGCTGAGGGAATGGAGGAGGAGAGTCAGAGACAGGGCTTTCTGTCACTGCTCTCTGAGAGAGGATTTGTGGAGTGAAAGCAAGCATCTTTTTACATAAACACCTGCATGCTGCTCGTGTTATTGATGTTCCCCCAGCACCATGTCCATTATCTTATTACCACTCCCAGTACTCCAAGCCAGCTGCATGCAGTAAATCCTCACAGAAACCCTTATAATATTATCATTCTGGGCATTTTATATCCCACAGCTTTACAATATTATACAGAGGGAAATTTAACAATAAATGAGATAATTGCAAGATGTTACAGGAACAATAGGTTGATCGTGGTCCTGGTCAAAGGAGCTTACAATCTAGAGCTGGGTGGGTATTTTTCCGTGTATAATACTATGTTTTTTTCTAAAACAATTTGTCTAAAATTGGCGGTTGTCTTATATACGGAATGTCACTGCACGGGTAAAGAAAAAACAAAAATCGTTTGAGCGCAGCGGCCTACGTTAAGATGGCGCCTGCCGCATTTCAGTGTGCTACGGCCAGTGGCGAAACTACAGGGGTTGCAGCTGCGACCGGGCCTGCCACTCCAACGGGCCCTGCCACCCTGCGACCGCGGTTCCCACTGCCATGTGTTGCGGATGGGCCCGCACGGAAGAACTGCTGGGGCCGCATGTTATGGGCCCATTGGGTAGCCCATGCTCTGAGGGATGTGCGATGGCTATAGATTTCCAGGGGGCCCAGTCAGCGCAGTGGCACTTTACAGTGTGTGTGTGTGTGTGTGTGTCTCTGTCTGTCTGTGTGTGTGTGTGTATGTCTGTCTGTGTGTGTGTGTGTCTCTGTCTGTCTGTGTTTTTGTATGTCAGTCTGTGTTTGTATGTGTGTGTCTGTCTGTCTGTGTGTGTGTGTGTGTTTGTATGTCTGTCTGTGTTTGTATGTGTGTGTCTCTTTCTGTCTGTCTGTGTGTGTGTGTGTTTGTATGTCTGTCTGTGCTTGTATGTGTGTGTGTCTGTATGTATGTGTGCTTGTATGTATGTGTGCCTGTATGTATGTGTGTTTCTCTGTATATGTTTGTGTGTCTGCATGTGTATCTGTTTGTCTGCATGTGTGGGGGGGCAACGTATGGGAGGGGGAGGGTAGAGGTATGGGGGGGCGGCAAGGGGTAGATGTATGGGGGGGCGGCGAGGGGTAGACGTATGGAGGGCCGCCAAAGGGTAGACGTATGGGGTGGTGGCGAGGGGTAGACGTATGGGGGGGGACGCCGAGGGGTAGACGTATGGGGGGGGAGCCCAGGGTAGTTTTGTTACCGGGCCCCGTGGTTTCTAGTTACACCTCTGGCCATGGCCCACACACATACCTGGCCTCCCTCCCACGACCCACTCTCTGAATGCTGTGACAAGGAGGAAGAGGTCCCTATACGTATGGGAGCTGCAGCAGACATCAGCACTTACCAACAACGGAGCTCCAGAGACATGCCCCACCATGAAAGGAGCGGCCATATTAAGGTTTGCTCCACCTCAGGTAGGACTTGCTTCCTGATTTATATTTAAAGGGGAGGAAATGGGGATCAGGGAGCAGAGGGAATACTACTGTGATATCCCAGCACCCCCTCACACCTCCTGCTGTATTGTGGGAGCTGTAGTCTCCCAGCATGCCCTCACACCTCCTGCTGTATTGTGGGAGCTGTAGTCTCCCAGCATGCCCTCCTACCACCTGCTGCATTGTGGGACCTGTAGTCTCCCAGCACGCTCTCACACCTCCTGCTGTATTGTGGGAGCTGTAGTCTCCCAGCATGCCCTCCTACCACCTGCTGCATTGTGGGACCTGTAGTCTCCCAGCACGCTCTCACACCTCCTGCTGTATTGTGGGAGCTGTAGTCTCCCAGCATGCCCTCCTACCACCTGCTGCATTGTGGGACCTGTAGTCTCCCAGCACGCTCTCACACCTCCTGCTGTATTGTGGGAGCTGTAGTCTCCCAGCACCCCCTCACACCTCCTGCTGTATTGTGGGAGCTGTAGTCTCCCAGCATGCCCTCCTACCACCTGCTGCATTGTGGGACCTGTAGTCTCCCAGCACGCTCTCACACCTCCTGCTGTATTGTGGGAGCTGTAGTCTCCCAGCACCCCCTCACACCTCCTGCTGTATTGTGGGAGCTGTAGTCTCCCAGCATGCCCTCCTACCACCTGCTGCATTGTGGGACCTGTAGTCTCCCAGCACACTCTCACACCTCCTGCTGTATTGTGGGAGCTGTAGTCTCCCAGCATGCCCTCACACCTCCTGCTGTATTGTGGGAGCTGTAGTCTCCCAGCATGCCCTCCTACCACCTGCTGCATTGTGGGACCTGTAGTCTCCCAGCACGCTCTCACACCTCCTGCTGTATTGTGGGAGCTGTAGTCTCCCAGCACGCCCTCACACCACCTGCTGTATTGTGGGAGCTTTAGTCTCCCAGCATGCCCTCACACCTCTTGCTGCATTGTGGGAGCTGTAGTCTCCCAGCATGCCCTCAAACACCCTGCTGTATTGTGGGAGCTGTAGTCTCCCAGCACGCCCTCACACCCCCTGCTGCATTGTGGGAGCTGTAGTCTCCCAGCACGCCCTCACACCGCCAGCTGTATTGTGGGAGCTGTATTCTCCCAGCATGCCCTCTCCACCTGCTGCATTGTGGGAGCTAGAGTCTCCCAGGACGCCCTCACACCACCTGCTGCATTGTGGGAGCTGTAGTCTCCTAGCACGCCCTCTCCACCTGCTGTATTGTGGGAGCTGTAGTCTCCTAGCACGCCCTCACACCACCTGCTGTATTGTGGGAGCTGTAGTCTCCCAGCACGCCCTCACACCACCTACTGTATTGTGTGAGCTTTAGTCTCCCAGCATGCCCTCACACCACCTGCTGCATTGTGGGAGCTGTAGTCTCCCAGCACGCCCTCTCTACCTGCTGCATTGTGGGAGCTAGAGTCTCCCAGGACGCCCTCACAACACCTGCTGCATTGTGGGAGCTGTAGTCTCCCAGCACGCCCTCTCCACCTGCTGCATTGTGGGAGCTAGAGTCTCCCAGGACGCCCTCACACCACCTGCTGCATTGTGGGAGCTGTAGTCTCCCAGCACGCCCTCTCCACCTGCTGCATTGTGGGAGCTGTAGTCTCCTAGCACACCCTCACACCACCTGCTGTATTGTGGGAGTTTTAGTCTCCCAGCATGCCCTCACACCCCCTGCTGTATTGTGGTAGCTGTAGTCTCCCAGCATGCCCTCACACCCCCTGCTGCATTGTGGTAGCTGTAGTCTCCCAGCATGCCCTCACACCCCCTGCTGCATTGTGGTAGCTGTAGTCTCCCAGCATGCCCTCGCACCCCCTGCTGTATTGTGGTAGCTGTAGTCTCCCAGCATGCCCTCACACCACCTGCTGTATTGTGGGAGCTGTAGTCTCCCAGCATGCTCTCACACCACCTGCTGTATTGTGGGAGCTGTAGTCTCCCAGCATGCCCTCACACCACCTGCTGCATTGTGGGAGATGTAGTCTCCCAGCATGCACTATAGAGCCATTAACGTCACCATAGAGTACCGTAGCACAGGGGAGGCATGAGAATCAGAAGTGTGTTGTTCTCCTCAGAAGTCACCTCTAAAATATCAAAGTTGTTCTATTTAATGTTTAAATTATTGATTTCTTAATTTTGGGCTCAAAAAATAGGGGGCGTCTTATACGCGGAAAAATACAGTAACAGGGGCTAGAGTTGTTTAGAGCTTTATAGTATTATAGTATTTTTTTTTTTATTGACTCCTTATAAGCCAGTATTAATAGAAATAACTCATATATAAACCAGTATTTATGGGTGTATGCCATATAAACTAGTATAATGGGTACATCCCTCATACAGGGGGGCCCATAAGTCCTTACCCATCCATATATCTTATGTATCCAGTGTATCGGTGTGCTGGATGGGCAGGGACTTATGGGCCACCCTGTATATACCAGTATTCATAGAAACAACTAACCAAGAAATCACCAGTATTAATGGAGGTCTACCATATAAATTAGTATTAATGGGGGTCTGGCAAATAAACTAGTATTAATGGAAGTCTGTATAAAAAGTAAAAGAAAGTGCAAAAGGCTAAATAACATGTAAAATATAATAAATTTATTCTAATGGAATGATGAAAAATGGGGGATAGAGAGTGTCTTGCACATAAAGAATTCTGCTAGAGGTATATGCAAAAATAAAATATCCATAGAGGAAAAAATGCTAAAAAATAACCTGATTCCAGTAGCTGGAGTGCACTCCTGCGCGGTCTGGTTTGAGGATAAGTATAGGTGTGTTAAATCCTCTTAGATCCTGCAGAGTGATCGCAGATATTCCTCAAAAAATGATGTAAAAAATAAATAAAAGTTAAAAAATCCAGTCCAATGGGTAAAAAATACATAATAAAACTTGAATGAATGGTAAAAGGATCTCTTCTTCCAAAAAGCTTTGTTGATAACACAAGCTGGAATGTAGTGGTACTGAGGCTCTCAGAGTTTACTGAATCCGTTCAAAATCTCAGTGTGCAAATCCTATGCATTTTGTGAGTCTTGCGCTCACTTCTTCAGGGATACAATGCAAAAAATAAATAAAAAAGTATGGGGGTCTGGCAAGTAAACTAGTATTCATGGAAGTCTACCAGATAAACCAGTATTAGTAGGAATAGCTGACAGATATATCACTAGTATGAATGAGGGTCTGGCAAATAAACTAGTATTAATGGAAGTCTACCAGATACACCAGTATTAATAGGAATAACTGACAGATATACCACTAGTATTAATGGGGTTCTACCAGATAAACCAATATTAATGGGGGTCTTCCAGATAAGCCAGTATTAACAT